TTACTCTTTCTTTATATTACATTTTTTACTATTTTCAATTGTTACAGAATAAAGTAGGAGACTTAGGTCAAAACTACACTATTATTTTGAAACATTAGCTTTAAAACCTATGAAAAAACTTCAGTAAACACACTCATTTCATAAGGTATTTTTAAAGATTAAAGTATTTATATGAGATATTAACCGGGGGAATTGAAACGAAATAAATTATGAATACATATGCTAATTACATATTTTAATCGTCAATTTTGATTTGCATTATTTTAATTTATCGATCGTAAGCCTGAACGAACTTGTCATGTGAGAATAATGTGGGTTGATTACTGATGTATTTTTAGATATTTAAATACTAGATTACTTCTATTTTTTTGTCATAGAAAGTTAAGAAGGTATTGCATGAGTACATTCTCGAATATTTTATTACTAATTGTTAATTATATGTAGACTTTTATCATTGTTATTATTATTTTTTTTTGTAAGAAGTTGTAAATCGGGATGTCGAACTAAAATTCCATTAATGTATATACTTTTCAGCTAACATGATTTCTCAATCTACTTTAGAAACTAAAATCAAAACTTGGACTGAATTTGTAAAATATTTTTTTTTGCTACTTAATAGATAAATATTAAAAAAAAAACACTTTTAACCAGTAACTTTTTTTAAATAGTTTTTTTCTTAACTGGAGTGTAGTTCAATTGTTAAATATAAATTAATATATAGTAAGTTTTTAATATTAATTAATATATACATTGCCAAGATTATTTTTTTAAGACTGTAGTTTAAGGTTGACAGTTGAAGTTTGATTTCACTTGCTTTTTCTTAAGTTGATAAATAAAATATTACTCGCCAACACTAGCATGTATCAGATTTAGTGTGGACAAGAATAACTTTTTTTATATATAGAAAAAAAAAGATTGTTAAATAGTTTACGTCTAAATTAGCTTATATATCATACATTCTTTATATTTAAAAATCGCAAGAGCCGCATCCGCTGTTTTAGGTGTTAAACTTTACGTTAAATACTTTTTACCATGAAAAAACAAACTACAAAAATTGGAAATATGAAGGTGTACTAGAAAATGTATATTGACTATGATGGAATGGAAGTTTGAGAATTTTTCATGTCTAGTAAAAACATTTCACGCCTGCCATTTTGCATCCCAAAAAATGCAAATTTCAGAGCTGAAATTTGTCTATGTGGAGTGGCTTTTTTTATTTCTAAACGTAATACTGTTTTTTTTTTCTTCCGAAATTCCAATTAGTTCGAAAATTATTGTAATTTTGAGCATTGTTTTCGCGAGTTTTTTCACTTCTTGCATTAAACAGTGATCATATAACCTTTCTTGTAAAGAGAAGTTGGAAAATTTATTAATCTCTTAAGAGATATATTTTATAAGATAATGTTTCAGTTTCTTCATTGAACTCGAAAGCTTAAGGGAAAAAAATGAAGAATGGGTTGCCGTAAAATTTCCTGTGTTTACTTAAATTGTTATTTTTTAAACTCATTAAATAAAGGTTTGGATAGTCATCACTATACAAATAAATTGCATTACGAAACGAGAAATAATGGAATCTAGAATTAGTATACTTCACAGGGCATTGATAAAGTATTTTTTTATTGTTATATACTTAAAATTTCCTTGTAGGAAACCTAAGTTTGAAACAAATTTCTAATAATTTATTGCTTGGCATAATATATTTAAATTTGTTTACGAAAGAAAGGGTTGCAATACCTTTAATTAGAATAATTAATGAAAATAATTAATTAAAATAATTAATGAAATATTTTTGCTATAACAATAAATTAGTTTCATTGGGTGTGGTTAAATCGCTTCATTAAAAGATTCATATTTAATAGCGGCTAAAAATGCCATGAAGTGCAAAACTTATTTATTAAAAAATGCATAACTATGCAATGTATTGTTTGTAATCAAATATTGAAAATTTACTCAAATATGTTATTTATTCTCATGCGTAGTTTGTAAACAATTTCATTTAAATTACTATTGATTATTTAAAGTGTACTTGATATTTTATTAATCAGAAACGCACATCAACTTCTAGAAACATGATTGTGTAGAAACGTATTATAATTTTCTTTTTACGTTGAAATTTAAAATAATAATTTATCACACAAATTCCTTCAACTTTTATAATAATACTTAATTTTTTTTGTAATGATTTACAAATTTCAGAATTATTTTCTGCTTTGATTTATTTTAGCATTATTTTTAGTTTCGGGCCGTACATAATAAAGATAACATATATTTCTTTATAATTGGAACATAGAAAACACTGTAAATAAAAAAGAAATTATTACAAAAATCGGACTAAAGAATCTGAAGTTAAAGAAATTAAAAAAATAAAAACATAAATTTTTATTTCATTAAGCCTTAAATCAGCAGTAGATTTATTCGATCTCTACTTATATGTATATGCTGAAACTCATAAATTAAAAAGACACGCATTTCCAATAACGTCTTCTCAATATAGCGTTTTTCTTATTAGCGGTTTCGATAACTTTTTATATATATATTAGATTGATTTATTAAAGATTAATTCATGTTTTTTTTCGCCATTTTGATTGCATACAGCTCCTAATGATCACCCTTAACATATATCTTTTTATAACCTTTGTCAAGAAGAAGCAAAAAAGAATTACACACTCAGGGACTGTCAATTAAAATTTAAGTCAAGAAAAGACATAAACGCTATCTTATCGAGAGAAAAATATTTAAAAACCTACCAAAAAACCAAAAACATACCAAAACCTACCATTTTTTTGGCTATAATTTTTTTATTGTATCGCATTCATAATATAAAGATTTACATTTATTATAACATATGCGAGCCATTATTTTACCTTCCCCCCCAATTATTGATAAACTAAAGGAAATTTATTTGAAACATTATTTAAGATATAAAACTTAACCTTGAAATATAAAAATAGATTCGGGTGTGTTTCTCAGTAATAAAGCGTAATAAAGAACGAAACTTATAATTAACGTCAACAGTCAAGTTGCATGAATTGAACTGAGTAATATGTGTTTAATAAATTATCACTATTTTATACAAGGTTTTCGAAAATTTAAAATTAAAGATGAGAAAGATTTTTTTATGACTGCTTATACAATTTTCCATAAGCAATTATTAAAAATTTATTATTATTTTTTTAAAAAATTTCATAATTCAATTGATATTTAATTATATACATGGTATATGGAAGTACATATATGAAATACATGTCAATACAATAATTACATAAAAAAAAAATATTTCTTATCTATTTTTTCTTTACTTTTTTTTCTATTTCATTATGAATTATAACAATTTTCACAATAAAAATGTTGCCAGTTTTGGTAATATCTAATCATTTGTAAATGTTGTTGTTTCTATTGTCACCTGCTAATACTAGCAAGCCTGCTTGGTGAAACTAAGCGAATTTATGCCAGAGGGGATTCCATTTCTTGTTTTTCAGTTGCGCCACCTATTGCCAAGAATACGACTCATACATACACACGTCACAGCCCGTTTATAGAGCGGACATTCATCCACAGATTGTATTTTTGAACGGAACCAGAGAACAATCAATCTCCAATTCAATACCCCAGAAGTATGAATTGTTATGGGAACATGGAGGGTTTTGTGACCCGACAGATTTAACGTGCACCAGTCACCATTTACTACACGGGGAGTCTTCGGCTGGCCGGAATCGAACTCAAACCTCTTGGACATGGGCCCAACGCCCTACCAACCAGGCTATCCCGAACTTTGTGAATGCAGTTGCCAAAAGAATAAGTCAGTGGATGTATTTTGAAGAAGTTGAATTTAGTTTATTATGCTTCGCAATGAGTAGAATTTAAATATAGTATTATAAGAATAAATTGCAAACGAATATGTTTATTCCTTAACAATAGATAGAATGCGGAAAAACCCAAATTTCTAATTGCAGTAATATTTAATTGATTTCTAAGTTTCATTTTCAAATAAAAGATAGCAATAATATTAGAAAGGTGTACTTTTAAGAAAAAATACTTCTTAAATTTTAAATATTTACAGTTTTTATTTTGAGTACTTTATATGAGTAGTGCGTTGAATTAACGTTTGATGCGTTCTGCTATTTATAAAATTTAAAAGAAAAAAGTACATATAATTAATTCAAAAAAAAAAAAATATTCTCATACGGAAAAATAACTTTTGCAAAATTACTGTACTGTATGGTATTGACAATTCTGGTAAAAAAAAGGCTATTATTCTGGTTGATAAAACTAAAATATACGATATTTAAACCATTCCTTTAGTAATTTTTCCATTATAATGACAACGGTTTATCGGAAAGTCTGACTTTCCAAATTATAGTTCTTATTTCCACACATGACACACAATATAAAACCGAAAAGTAAATTTAACCTAATAAATGGTTTTTATGCTATGCTAAGGTGTTGTGGTAAAATTATCGAATTTTACCACCTTTACCAAATTTTATCTCATATTATAAAACTATATGTTATTGTTCATTTTCCTATAACGCTTCGGTAAAAATTACCGAACTTTTTGATGTTTCCACAGAGCGGTAAATCACGGTAAATTATATCATATTCCGGTAGTATAGTACATGATATATTTATATTTTTATTCAGACTGTTGTCATTTTTAAATTCATACGTTATTATTACAAATTATTTCGGAATATTACGAATTATTACGTAATTACGTTTTTTTACTTCATATTACGTAATTACATTTTTTAACACATTTTTTTTAATTACATTTTTTATTTAATGTAATTAAGTAATATATAATTACTTAATTGCATTATTTTTTATCGCTTTACATTACTTACTTGCATTACTTTTCAATTTAACTACTTTTTAATATTTTTTACCTCATTTCGCACCCCTTTCATTTTGTTATGTTTACAACAGAGCTTAATGATTTTGTCACCAGGTGGCATTATTTGAAATCAACCTCCTTCTCATTTTCATCCGGGTGGATCGATTGCCGTTGCTCTAGCTCTTCCTTAATATAGAAAATACATATCACGTTCTGCAAATAAAAAAATATTTCGTTGCACATCCTACTGAACGCTAAACATATCTCTGGGACGGCATTACATTCCGATTTACTGTGCTGTTTCTAAAGTTATTAAATTATACATTTAAAATTTGGAACAATTTTAAACAATGTCATTTTTCTTAATTCATACTCTGGAACTGACGATTGTGTTGTCTATTATACTTAACGTTGGTAAGATATATTCTATTATATTTTTATAAATATATATATATAAAAAAAAACTGAGATTATAATAGCTTTATTTTATGTGCACTCTTTAAATTTCAATTAATTATTCTTTTTTTTTGCAAATAATGTTTATAAAATTCGATAACGTATACACTTTTTGTAAAAATTTTATAGCTGAATTCACACATTTAAAATTTTTTTTTTTTTGATATTACACTTGATGGAGTTTATGTCATATAGCTAAAAAATTCTAATGTTGTAGTTTACATAGATATTTCGAATTTAGTTTAAAAAATTTCATTTGTTTATTTATTTTAAGAGTTTGAGAAAAACCCCCTTAAATATAACTTGGAAATATTTTGAGAACTACAATTCTCAAATTTTATTATTGTTTTTATTCGCTTGGTTTCATCCTTCTTTGCGTGGTTTAATATCAAGGCACTTTTGTGCCTTTTCTTTTTCTTAGCAGATTTTTACTGAAGCATTGGTAAAAAAGATTAAATTAAAAAACCTTATTGCTTTTATGTTTTATAAGAACAGATAAAATGAAGCAATAAAGAATATTATTTAAATCTATGCTTTTTATGATGCACTCGTATTTCAGCAAATACACGTATATTATTGTTTGAATCGTGATGCACATGATTCAAACAATATTATTCTGCGCAAACATTTTAAACGGAAGAAATTTTTAAAACTAATTTTGAAAAGAAAAAAAAAACGTAATTACTTAATTGAAATTTGAGAGTCGTTATACATAAAAGAGATGGGGTTTTGTCCTACTTATGTGGAAACTATTTCTCCTTTTTTCTTTTTTAAAAAAAGATAAATTCCGTACTTCTAACATTTTATAACGCGAAGAGCGAAGCATATTTTTATATTATTTAAAATGCATAAAATATTAAGATTTTTATTGTTTAAAAATACTTTTCAGAATAGTTAAAATTTAGTGAAATCACAGCTGTTTTGAGGCATTTGGCTTACAGTGAAGGTGAAGTGAGCCGTTTAGTAAAAATAAAATGAAATGTAGTTTAAAAATTAGGATTGATATAATAAGTAATAAATAAACTATTTTCAAATATTTTCAAAATGTTAAATCTTTTTGCTTATATTTAAGGAATAAAAAATAAATTGAAAATAAAATTTGAACTTTTCTTAGTGAAAAGTGTCAAAGACTCTTTTCACACCAAGCCCTATTTTTGCTTGGCATTGTTGTTTCTTCGTATGAAGCAGTTTTTTATTATCAGAAATTATTCACTTTTTATATGTAGCATAAAGAATTCTGCTCGCTTACGTTTGTGTCCTCGCCTCCCATGTTCAATATTCATTTCCTTAAATTAAATATTTATTTTGAGTCAAATTCGTCTGGTACAGTATCTCGAGTGATTATATTTCCCTTATGATTCTATTAAGATGTATTAGGGAACATAATTAATTTTGTTTAGTAATTTTTTTAAAATAACATTTAAAATTAAAGGTACATTGTTATGACAAATTTGGTGAGTTTACAACCGTAACTTTGTGATTCTGCTTACCAAACAGACTGAGCTTTTAAATGCAGTTGGTGAACGGTTTACATAGTGCATAGAGCTGATATTTACACTATAAGAAAAAAAATCATGGTGAAAACTACCAGAATATGTTAAAATTTACCGTGTTTTGGTCCTGGGGGAACATCAAAAACCTTCGTAACTTTTACTGAAGTGCTTTGGTAATGATTTAGAAAACATTAACAATAAAATATAATTTTTAGATCTGTGGTAAAATTTTTTTAAACGTGGTAAAATTTGGTAATTTTATCGTGATATCTTAGAGCAGGTCATGAAAACTACTTATTTGGTAAAATTTGCTTTTCAGTTTTGTATTTTTTTTTTATGAAATGCGTGTTAATAGGAACTACAATTTTGAAAATCAGAATTTCTGACAAACCGTTATCATATGGGCGAAACAGTTACCAAATGAAATAGTTTAAATACCGTTTAAATACCGTTAAATACCGTACTATTTTATGTACCAGAATTACGTTTTTTTCTTCTTTTTAACCAAAAATATCATTACCATACAATACGTTAATTTTGCCAGAATTTTTTCACCGTCTAAGTTTTAAATCTCCTAACGAGTTTCTTTAAAGGTAATTTATAATAATAATGTAATTGACACCAAAAAATAATGATTATAAAATGGTTTAGTTTTTTCAGAGTTTAGACACCGATTCTAATAAGTTTATCTTATAATGTAGCATAATAACGTAATATCAAAGAATTACATTATAATAAAGAAACAACACTTTTATTTTTAAAGTCTTGGTTTAGAAATCAATCGAAATCAAAAACGAAACTATAACGTAGTAAAATAAGAAAAATAAGTATTTACTTTGGGATAATAAACTATTTTACAGAGAACAATACTTTTATGATTTTTGTTAATTTTATGCTGATGACAACCAAAGAAACATGAAAATTAATGTGGGAAAACTGGATGCTATCACGTAATTTTCCCGTCAATGTACTGGCAACAATGGAAGAATGCTAAATCATCATTTTTATATGTAGTCAGAAATCTGTAATTGCAATTCTGCTTTAATTTTTAAGATTTCATCATATGAAGTAATGAAAAAGGCACTCCCACAATAGTTATTCTGTTGGCAAAGGGATTATGAAGATCAAGACTCCACAATTTAGAGACTGACAGTATGATGGCGACAATGTGGCCAACATTACGCACAAGCCAACTTTACTTTCCAAACAAAATATTACCATCTTGATATCATACTTAAATTCTTAAAACATCTTTCTAAATATGGCTAAAAAATGTTGCTTTACTTTTGATATAACCTGTATAAATGAGATAAAAATACTTATTGCCTAATTTGGTATTTCGGAAAGTTCAATAAAATTTAAATCAAGGGGAGAAGGGACCATTGAGGACATTCTATAAATTTGTTGAAAATGTTTATTTTTCTGAATATATCTGGTATTTTTTTTATTCATATTTGCACGCTTATCTTGATTTTTAGGGAAGCATAAGCTAATTTGGAAGAACATCTTTTTAATTTTTATAAAAGGATGCTTTTATCTACACTAACACTATGAAATGGAACTAGCGTGGGCAAGCTCTTGCATTGATTAGTTAATCTATTGTTACGTATTCAAAAAGAAAGTTAAATAGAAAAGTGAACTAATTTTAGTCTGCAAGTACTACGTGCTACAAATAATTTCACAATTTTTATTTCAATTAAGTTAAAGCATAATAAATCAATGCATGCCAACTTCTTCGGTTTTAACAGATTATATTTCTTGAATCGCATTTGTTACTCTGTACCAATTGATTTTTGATTAAACAAGCTCGATTTAAATTGCTTTAATTAAAAAAAACTATGAACAAATTTAAACAAATATATAAGACATGATAATAATGCTCTGCAGTTCTTAAATTACTGCAAAAAGAAGAAAGCTTTAACCTTAATATTACCTTCTACGGAATTAGTTTTAGAAAGTAATTTTCTTTTTTGGTAACAAAGCTAATATATTATTTTAATTAGCATTAAAAGAATTGGACCACCACTACTTATAAATAATTTAAAGAATTGTATAAAAAGGCAGGTATAAATGGTTCAGTATGCATAAGTTTTGTTAAAAATTTTCTAAACATTCTATTTGTTTTGAAAATTTCTGTTTCTGCTAAGAAAAACGAACTTCGGTAAAAATCTCAAGCTCTTGAGCTTAATTGTTGATTACTTGCATAAAATTACCTTGATAAATTTACTTTCCATCTATTTTTAATTATAATCTTTTCCTATTTCAGAGATTAGTGTACTCATTAGAATTATATACTTCTTCTGCATTTATTTAGCAGAAAAATATTACTTTTCAATTTTACAACCGGTATAAAAAAAATTGCCACAATACAAAAACTAATTTTGTAGATAAATAATCTATTAAGTGATGTGCTAGTAATTAACCAACCATACTTTCATAGACAGCTTAATAAGGATGTTGTCCATTTTAGTCCTTCTCTCTCCTGTAGTATTTTTAATGTAATAATTGTTTAGTTGTAAAAATCTGATAAATATTAGATTCTCAGTGTCTTCAAAGAATGCTAATAAAATACAAATTTATAAAAAAGTTATTGAAATTAATTTTTAATTAAATATGAATTATGCATTCTTTTTTATCGGAATATAAATAAAAAATATGCTTAATTTGAACTCTCTTATAATTGAGCATAAGCCCTTAACATTAGATAATAAGAATTCATTTCGTAATAAGACTTCGCGATGATAAAAAATTTTCTTGCATAGAACAATCGTGATAAATTGACTTCCAACTATTTTTAATTAGAATCTTTTTTAGCTGTTTAACAGTAAGAACTTAGTAAAATATTAATTACAGCAAACGATAATTACTCTATACATAATTTGTTCTTTGCAAATTTATAAGTAATTGCATAATCTCTACTTAATGACTTGGTGGATGACTTTCTAGTTCGCAGAAAACTCCGGGTAATAAAGAATGCTTAATTTGCGAGAGTAAATTTATTTCCATTAAAATGGCCTAAGGATATTATTCTTTTCTTGAAGATGTTAAGTAAGAAAATCTAGCCGAAGTAAATATTTAAGAATGAAGCTTCAGTCTAAGTTTAGATATTTGATTTATAAGTTTGATTATTTAAAAAAAAATCTTTCTTATGAAATTTGAATAACATTGCATTTTTGCTTGATTATGGATATGTTATTCAGTGTTATTTCTTTTATTTTACATAATAATTACGCAATTTTTGTTCAGTGAATAACACTTATTACCTTTGGGGGGAAAATGATGATTGATTGCAAGCGTTTCTTTCATCATATATTCTTATTATTTTATTTGTTTACAAGATTTGTATGATATTAATCGGATGTATACTGATTTTGTTTTACAAAAGTTTAAGCTAATTCAACATTTGATGTATTCGAATTATATGTGTAATTATAATTTTAATGTTCTAAGTAATTTTAAAAATAT